TTCCAAACAGTAAGATAAATAAATGTTAAAAATTACCTATCACAGGGGCGCCTGGGTGGCTCAGTGGATTAAAGCCTCTGCCTTTGGCTCAGGTCATGATCTCAGGGTCCTGGGATCGAGCCCCGCATAGGGCTCTCTGCTCAGCAGGGAGCCTGCTTCCCTCTTTCTCTCTGCCTGCCTCTCTGCCTACTTGTGATCTCTGTCTGTCAAATAAAATCTTAAAAAAAAAAGTAATTTCTTTCAAACAAGTTGGTGCTATTTTTGTTTCATAAAAACATTGGTTATAATTCGCATGACCAACACTCCAATTCACTGTTTAAAAAGATGAAGTTCAGAATATAAACATTATATAAAGTCATAATTTAAAGAAATTAAGTTGCTAAAATACACTGAAATGTGGCACAAATATTTTTTAATGTTTTATTTTTAATTTCCTATCCTTCCTTTGTGTCTTTCAAAATATTACTTCACCTGGGTGGCTCAGTGGGTTAAAGCCTCTGCCTTCGGCTCAGGTCATGATCCCAGGGTCCTGGGATCGAGCCCCACATCAGGCTCTCTGCTCAGCAGGGAGCCTGCTTCTGCCTCTCTGCCTGCCTCTCTGCCTGCTTGTGATCTCTGTCTGTCAAATAAATAAATAAAATCTTTAAATATATATATATATATTACTTCAGGGGCACCTGGGTGGCTCAGTCGGTGAAGCATCTGACTGGATTTCGGCTCGGATCCTGATCCTGAAGGATCCTGACCATGACCTGAGGTCATGAGACTGCGCCTTGCATCAGGCTCTGAGCTCAGCAACGAGTCTGCTTGTCCTTCTGCTTGTCCCTCTCCCTCTGCCCCCCTGCCACACACACTAGTGTGTGCGCACGCCCTCTCCCCCTTTCAAATAAATGAATCTTTTTAAAAAAAGATTTCTGGGGCACCTGACTGGCTCCGTTAAGTGTCTGCCTTTGGCTCAGGTCATGATCCCAGGGTTTTGGGATGGAGCCCCGCATCGGGCTCCCTGCCCAGTGGGGAGCCTGCTTCTCCCTCTCCTGCTCCCCCTACTTGTGCTCTCTCTGTCAAATAAATAGATAAGTACTTTTTTTTAATTACTTCATAGACTCTCCTACCACTGTTCTCTACCTTTTTTATGCAATTTTTTTTAAGATTTCATTTATTAGAGCACAACAGAGATAGAGTGGGGAGGCAGAGGAGAAGCAGGCTCCCCGTTGAGCAGGGAGCCCAACATACGGGTTTCAAGGCTCCATCCCACGACCCTGGGATCATGACCTGAGCCAAAGGCAGACGCTTCACTGACTGAGCCACCCAGGCCCCCCGCCCCGTCCCTAAGGTTTTTATTTACATAATCCCTACTCCCAACGTATCCTGACGCCTACTGGGCATCTGGGTCATCTGCAATGACTACAAGTGAGCAGAAATGTTGCAAGATGTAACATATCTATACCCATAACTTCCCGTGCAAATTTGGTCATCGCTGACTTGATCCTTTCTCAAACAGCTGTCTTGAGGCAGAGCCTCCTACGGCACGATCTCGCCCCGCGGCGAGGGCACACACTCAGGAGTTCCGCGATCGTGGGTCCATGCCCGGTACCTTCACCAGATGGAGGCTCCCTGAGGGACGTTGTTTCAGGCATTCACTCAGTCAGACGTTTACTGAGCACCTACTGTGGGCTGCTGAGCGGGACCGACGTCTGCCCACACTGTTGGGCGTGGGCAAGTGCTGATGAAAAACTGGTCTTCCCAGAGCACTTCCGTGTGCTGCGCAGAGATCCCCGTGGGTGGCTGTGTCCTCGGGCTGTCACGGGGCTGGGGGACTGAGCAGTAGTACTCAGGTGAGTGGAGTTAACCCGCAGCAGAGGGCAATTCCCACCCCACGGCGGGGCTAACCCCCCTCTGGATCGGGCCAGCGCGCTCGAGGGAGGCGGTGGGCCAGGTGGTCACAGAAGTCAGCACCTGGCTGTCTACCCAGCGGCCTCTGCGGCCCCTCCATTCAGCAACAGTGAAAGCCAAGTCCAACAGCAGAAGAGGTGAAGAGGGCAGTGAGCTGCAGGTTGCTCCCCTTTCTCAGCTTTGGGGACTCAAGGCCACGTCCAAACTGTGGCTTAAAGAAGCCCATTAAGTTCACTGAAGAACCCTGGGCTGGAAGGGCCTGGGGCCACATGCCGAGCATGGCACGCTGGGCCCTTCTGCTTCCTGGGAGACTGCTACCTGCCTGCCAGCTCTTCCCGTCCCCACCCCCAGGATTCGGGGGGACACGGGGACCAGACGCTGTGAGAGGCCTTTGCACACACAGCATCTCATTCAAGGGAGAGTCAAGAGCCAAGCGAGGGCTCTTTTGGGGTGACTGGTCCAGCCTCCTGCTCCCCCTGAATGTCCAGAGAGAGACTCCCTCCCGAACAAGGACAACCGACAAGTGACAAGGGTGGTGCCCCTCTTGGCTGAGTCTGGGCCTCAAACCTGGAAGCAGAACGCCGCTGAGCCTGCGCGTCAGGTGGGAGGACGGGTCTACGGCGGGAGTGCTCAACCCTTCGGGCCACCCACTGCCTGCAGCGAGGTTAAGAGGTGTGCACCCCAGGGGGAGAAGGGAAGTCTCCCGGGGCTCCCCCACCCGGCCTGCCCACCTGGCCCCGTCCGTGTCGGGGAGCTACCGGAGGAAGCTGGGGGGCCCGGGCACCAGCGACACTCAGATACTCATGTCTCCATCCTGTACCCACCCCTTGCCCGGTGGTGGTGGTGGTGGTGGTGGCGGTGGGCGCTGGGGCTTAAACACTCCACAGCCAGCACTCCCTCCTCCGTCGGACAGGGTACTGCCTGGGCCACAGCCATCAGACCCGGGGCTCCTCTGGAAGAACCGTGGCTCAGCGCAGACTGGGCACGGCTGGAAAGCAAGAGCTATCACCCCACAGACGGGTGCTTCCCGGGAGGAAGGGAGGAGGCCACCTTCACGAGGTAAGGTCCTCCGGGCAGGGCTGTGACCCGTCCTCTCTCTCAGGCAGCTCTGACTGAGGCCTGCACTTGGGGCGCTCACCGCCATGCTGAGGGAGCCCCCAGTAACACATCAAGCAAGGTCCCGGCCCCGGGGGGGAGCCAGATGCTGGCTGGCGAGGGCGCCCCAAGCAGGCCCAGCTGGGGCCTGGGGGCAGCTTCGCCTGGGAGGGCCTGGGGGCTCCAGGAAGGGGGAAGGGAGCCTAAGCCCCCAACGTTGGGCTGCCCTGAGAGCGAGGAGAGGCTGTGCAGCCCAAAGCCCTGCCCTCTGGACCCCTAGCCAGGGAGGGGACTCCAAGAGCCCTAGTCCCGGGCAGGTGTGGGATGAGGGACAGAATGGGGTTCGAAAAGCTGCTCCGCCTTGAGCAAGCTGCTTGATCCCTCGAAACCTGTTTTCCATTTGGAAACTGGCCATCCTAATTGCACTGACCCCATATCGCCCCACCCAGCATACAACAAGCGCTCAACAAAGACCGGCCCAGTGCCGGGGTACACACGGGGCTCCGCAGGCATAACCAAGGAGAGGCACAGGGCAGACTGGCCCGACTTGGCCTCACTGCCCACCTGAACCTCAGAGGCAGCTCTCCCTGGTCTCCCCAGAACCCAATTCCTGCCTTCCCCGACCTGCTGTACACCACTGCCCCAGCCCCTGCTCCATGACCCAGCCTGGCTTTCCAGCAGCCCCAGCTCCACACCTGGGTACGCCCTTCCCCCTTCCCGACTTCCCTCCGTCTTCAGGATTGACCCCAGGGCCCCTCCTCCGAGAAGCCTTCCCTGTGGAGTCTCCTCATTCTGAAGACACTTTGTATCTTCTGGTCAAAGCCCTCACACCCAGGCTCAGGTGGCCATCTTCGCTCCCTGACAAGGACCAGAGCCCGCTCACCCCCCTCGCAGACGCCCAGCACAGCCGGGGCTGGTGGAGGATACTCTCTGCTGATCTACGTGGCACCAAACTGGCCTGCGCCCCCCTTCCCCCGCCTCGAGCTCCTTCCTGTCCCTAAGGCAAGAAGAGCCACAGCTTCTCTCCCCGACCAGCCCTCAGGCACCCGAAGGGGCATGGCCAGTAAGGGGACTCAGAACAGGGTCTGGGAGACAGAGTGAGGTTGTGGTCCAGGACCAGAGCTCAGGACTGAGCTCTGTCCTCCTCTCCTCCCTTCCTGCTGCTCCTGCACCTCCATCCTTCTGCCTACCACACGTGCATGTGCGCGTGCACACACACACACACAAACCCGTTATCTCCTGCATGTCACCCTCCTCCAGGAATGTTTCCCTGATCTGCAGGGAGATCTGCAAGTGCCTCTCCTCCAACTGAAAATTACCAAAGCTAACCTTTATGGTATGCTTAGTACATGCCAGACTTTGGGACTAACCTCTGCTAATTATACCTATTTCACAGATGAGGTAACTGAGGCACAGAGAGGCTAAGAGGCAGAACCAAGATCTGAACCTTAACTTTTTTTTTTTTTTCCTGCTTCTTCCTGAGCACTGAGGGGCCGGGACCCCATCATTCTTGCTGCTGGATCCTCAGCCGCGGGTGTGGATTCTGTTAAAGAGAACCAGGTCCCGGAACCCGAGGTCCTCTGGAGGCGGGACAGTCTGCTCCCGTTTGGCTCTGCCACATCTCAGCCTTTAGACCCCCACCTGGGACCTGGAAGCTGGGGCCCAGATCCCCGTGCACCGTGGCTGCCCAGCGCAGCCCAGACCGCAGCACCTCGGGGAAGGAGGACCAGAAAGATGCCTCGCTGGGAGGGGCCGTTTACTGCGCTGTCTGTAGTCAACACGACAGACCCGGGGACACTGGCGGCTGCCGCACCCGCTCCAGGGGTGTGTGTGTGTGTGTGTGTGTGTGTGTGTGTGTGTGTGTGCAGGCAGACGGAGGGAGGGGAGTCGAGTGGCGCCCACTGCCTTCGGAGGAGCCGAGGTCTCAGCTGCAGCCCCTGTGGGGGCTCCCAGGGACAGCAGTCTCAGATTCTAGGGGTGTGTCTCGGGGAGGACTGGCCCCGGCGCCCCCTCTTATTCCCCACTCCCTGCCCCCTGAAGAGTCAATCAGTCAGGGTTCCTGGAAGAGTCACCCAGCAGGTTCCGGAGGTGGGGGAGGTGCCTGGGCCGGGCCCTTAAGGCACCCCCGGCTGCCTCCACGGCCCACTCCAGGGTCAGCAGCACCATGTCTGCCCGCACTTGTCCCTTCCTGGGAGCAGCGTCTGGAGATCCCTGTTGTCCTGGGCTTGGCCTGGGTCCGGGTCAACTGGGGAGGAGGGGCTGGCGCTCCGAGGAGGTGGCCGTGTCCCTGTATATCAGGAACTGTATGGAGATCTGGAGGGGCCAACGTCAAGGCCAAACCGAGCAGAGGCTAAGATGGCCATGCTCTTCCCTCCCTCTCACCCCAGCCCTCCCTGAGAGGCCAAGATCTCAAGCTACAGCCCCCTCCCTTGAGGCTCTCGGGAAAGCTGCCTCCAGGGTCCAGCTTGCACTCCTCTGGCCTGGCGGGACTGATTTCCCCAGATTCTTCAGGGCCTTTGCATAGGCTGAGTCGGAACCACCCCTCCCTTGCCTTTGCCTGACTCCACTCTTCTCCTCCAGGCAGTTTAAACGGCACTGCAGGGTCCCTGGCTGAGCTTCTAAACTAAGACAGCCCCTGGGGTGACACCAGGCAGGTTTCCCTGCAGTTTCCCTGCACCACCGTGGTGAAGTGTGTGTGGACCACCTCCGCCCCGAGCCGGGAGCTTCCTGGGCCACTCGGTTCTTGCTCGCTGCCGGATCTGGCGCCTAGCGGGGTGCTGGGCCCATGGAGGTTCACTCTGGATGGATGGGCAGGCGGATGGATGGGTGCTGAAGCCGCCTGCAGGTGGAGGCTGCTATGCCCGCCTCCTCCCCTGCCCCCCACCCCCCGCCCCCCCAACCTCCGTCCCCCACTACCCCCAAAGGATACAACAGTGTCGAGCAGCAGCACGCCCAGGCTGCCCACGAGCCAGGGCAGGTGGTGCAGCAGGTAGCTGCCCTCGCTCTCGCCCACCTCCGGGTTTTTGAGCAGCACGCTCAGCCCGTACAGTGTGTTCCCCAGCATCACCAAGGCGAACAGCGAGTAGGAGACGCCCTGCGTGGACTTCCTCAGGAACTGGGGTGGGGGACAAGGACGAGAGGCCTGGGACGGGGCTCCTGTCACGCTGCCCCATCCCACTGAGCAGGCTCTGGACACATTTCTCACCGTGCGCCTGGCAAGCACGCCCACGACCTGTCCCGGGTCCGCGGAGACCCGGCTGCCCCCCGCCCGGGGCCCTGCCGACGGCCGCCTCTCCTGCCCCAGCACCCCTCACTGCCCCGGCAGCCTCCCCGGCCCCAGCAGGCCCCTTTCTCCCCTCCTCTCGGGACTGTCGGCTGAGCCCCTGCCTCCTCACCGGACCTCCTGATTCTCTGAGACACACACAGGGCACCTGTGCCCCTCGAGACAGGCCTCCCCTGTGCCCACTTCGCAGAGGCCGAAACTGAGGGCTGGAGAACTGGATTCACTTGCCCAAGCCAACGGTGAGTTTGAACCCAGACCTTCTGCACCAAGACCCCACCCCTCGACCCGGAGGACCCCCTGCCCCAGGCCCCAGGCTCACATTGGTGCGGATCTGAGGCAGCCGGGAAAGCAGGTAGAGCACGCTGGAGACCGAGCCGATGACGAAGCCGATGATCTCCTGCTGAGTGAAGGGCTGAGAGGGCAGGCGCTGCTCAGGTCCCCGGGCAGGGTCAGAGGTGCAGCGTGAGACCCCCGCTCCCTCGGGGAGGGCAGTGCCCTGGGGACGAGCCAGTCCCCCCAAGCCCGCCGGTCCCCACAGCCTGCACTCCACCATCACTGACCCACACCTCACCTTACTGCCCGGCTCCACTGACAGGAGCGTCCGGCCCCGGAAGACCTCCCTCCGGGCGGCCACAGGGCCCGTGGTCCTCAGCAGCGGGGCGGCACATGCCAGCCCCAAGATGAACAGCAGCACTGAATTGATGGGGGTAGACACTGGACAGGAGACGGTGGGCGGGGGGAGCCAAGGTCAGGTAGCAGAGGCAGCAAACAGCACGACTTGAGTCCTGGCCTTGCCCTTCAGTGGCTGTGTGACTCCAGGCAAGTAACCCAACCTCTCTGAGCTTTAATGCCTCCTCTGTAGGATGGGTGTAGTAGCATCCCTCTCCTCGAGTCGTAAAGGAGAGACAAGGGCAGGAGGGGATCACCCAGAGCAGAAATGCTCGTGAGACAGCCCCACCCCCAAGTGCCTCCATCTGCCCTCCACTCCCGCCCCCTCTCAATCCTCAAGGGCAGCGGAGACCGGTGTCCTTGTCCTCGTCTCCTTAGCTCCAAGCCCAGGGCCAGGTACGGAGGAGCAGCTGAAGCCCCATTTGTGGAATGAGCCTCAAGAGGAGGGAGGTCCCTGTGGTCGCACCCGGATGCGAGCCATCCTCCAGCCTCCCTCTCTGCGGTCTGGGACGCCCGCTTGCAGATAAGGCCTGTTGCTGCGTTGATCACTGTGCAATGGGGAAGTCTACTTCCTCCCGCGCTCCCGGCCCCTCCCGCTGCACCATGCCCCACACGCACGCAGAGAGGGGCGCTTCTTAAACTTGTAGTGAAAGTAGAGGGACAGCATCACCAGGTCCGCCAGCACGTAGTACACCGCCGTGTAGGTCTGCAAGAGAAGTGGGAGCTGGTCAGCGGCTGTGGGGCCGACAGGCCTATTTCACCTCTCGGACCTTTTGTCTCCTCATCTGTCTACCCTGCAGAAGCAGAGATCAGGCCAGCAGAGGGCCCGGCCTGGACGGAGGGAGGAGAGGTGGCCGGCGCTCCTCATCAGGGCAGAGTGGGACTCGGAGGTCAAGGGAGGGCTCTGGTTTGGCCCAGAGGGCGCCTTCTCCTGGATGGGGTCCTCCCTCTGCCACGGTTGTCCCAGGCAGCACCCCCCCCCCCACATCGGACCCACCTGCAGGGGCAGCTGGTCAGCAAGGAAGGAGCCGATGAGGTTGCAGGAATCCCCTCCAATCCAGCCCAAAAGGAACCACAGAGACAGCGCCTGGTCCATGTTGCCCGTCCTGCAGGCCTTGATGTACTGGCTGCGGCCAAGGAAGGAGACGCAGGCTCAGGGCAGCAGGGGGCCCGGGCCAGGGAGGCAGGGACGTCACCTGTAAGCCCATCCTGCTGGCAGGGGGAGCTGCGGGAGCCTCTCGGTGCCCCTTGGGGATTCTCACCCGCAGATTCTCTTCCAACCAGGGAACTCAGTGGCAGCTGCATCTTTCCAGAAGCATCCATAGCATTCTTCAGACTCCCCTCCAGAGCCTCCCAGCGGGGACCTGGCGTTTTGTGTCAGGCCCTGAGACCTGTCACAGGGACCCTGCATTCTTTCTTCCATGGAGGGGAAGGGGGGTGGCTGTGGCAGGGACTCGTGGCCTGGCACTGCCCTATCTACAGGAGCGGTTGATGATAAGATGGGCCAAACCACAGCCTGTGACCTTCAAAGGGCAATGTGGCAGGGCTGGGCTATGGCCTGAGTTTGACCTCAGGGCTTTGGATAACCTGGTGGTTTGTATTTTTGGTTGTTTTTTTTTGTTTTTTTAAGATTGTATTTATTTATTTGACAGCCAGAGATCACAAGTAGGCAGAGAGGCAGGCAGAGAGAAAGGGGGAAGCAGGCTCCCTGCTAAGCAGAGAGCTCAATGCAGGGCTCAATCCCAGGACCCTGGGATCATGACCCGAGCTGAAGGCAGAGGCTTTAACCCACTGAGCCACCCAGGCACCCCTGGTGGTTTTTCTCAAAGGCCAAGTGTCAGCACGAGCTCCAGGCTGACAACAGGTGTTAAAGGGTTTCAGGCAGAGGTCTGACTATGAACTCTTTCAGTCCTGTAGACTACTCCCCCCCACCCCCCCGCCCAGGGCAGATCTAGTCCCTGATGCTCCTCCTGGGGCAGGGAGACTCAGGGCACACGTAGGCTGGAAGCCAGGATTACAGCCAGACCCTGAGCCCTCCCTCTCCAGTCACTCTGCACCTCTATGCAACTGCCATTTACTCTTTTTCTGTTTAACCCTCTGTGTGTATTTATTTTATTTATTATAATTTTTTTTTTAAGAGAGAGCAGGGAAAGGCAGAGGGAGAAAAAGAAATCTTTTTAAATTTTTTTTATAAAGATGTATTTATTGGGGCACCTGGTGGCTCAGTGGGTTAAGCCTCTGCCTTCGGCTCAGGTCATGATTTTAGGGTCCTGGGATCGAGCCCCGCATTGGGCTCTCTGCTCAGTGGGGAGCCTGCTTCCTCCTCTCTCTCTGCCTGCCTCTCTGCCTGCTTGTGATCTCTGTCTGTCAAATAAATAAATAAAATCTTAAAAAAGAAAAAAAGATCTATTTATTTATTTGAGAGAGAGCGAGCTAGAGCACAAGTGGGGGGTGGCAGGAGAGGGAGAGAGACAGAGGGAGAGAATCCCAAGCAGGGTCCGTGCTGAGCTCCAGGCCCGACATGACCTGAGCCGAAACCAAGAGTCAGCCGTTTACCGGACAAAGCCACCCGCGCATCCCTCGTCTGTGTGTATTTAATTAAAGGGGGACTAAATGGCACTTCATCTTCCCCAAGACCCAAGTCAGAAACTGAGAATGCCAGGTATGGCCCTGGTTCTTCCCATGGCCAAGCTTCTTCCTCCTCCTCCTCCTGTAGACACCCTCCTGCCCCGACTCCCCCCTCCCCCCACCCAGTCTGAGTGCCTCTATGTCCTCCCCAAGCTTGGTTCCCCCTGAATCTGTCATCCCTCTCAAGGATCTTTCTAAAGCCCCCGGCTGGCTTCAATCATTTCGAGCCTCCCGCTGCTCTTCAGGGGAGCCCCCAGGGCCAGCTGTCCCCCTGCCGCCGCCCCCAAGGGGGACTTATTTCCTTTTCTCCAGACTCATCAGCAGCCAGCCTACTCCCTCCTCTTCCCCTTTGTCTTTCATGGCTCAGGAAATCTCACTTCCTCCCCACGGCCTTCCTTGACACAAGCTCGCCAGTGTCCCCTACTTCCTCCTTGGTACCACGGGACATCCTTGTCCCTCCTGGACTCAAGCCTCCTGAGGTCAGGAAGAGCGTCCAGCTCAAGCCTGGCACCAGGGAGGCCCCTCATTAAGGTGTAGCCTATGGCCCTTAAAGCCCCTTCTAGGACATGCGATTTGGCCTTCCTGCCTCAAGTCTTGCTCCCTGTCGCTCCAGTCCTTCCCAGACCGCCTTTTAAAGATGGCTGGAATGGAAGCTCTGCAAAGGCAAGGAAGGCATCTGTTTTGTTTACTTGCAACATACCTACTATGGCACCGGGAACAAGCTAATTCAATGAAAATGTCAAGTCCACAATGAGGTAGTAGGATAATTCCGTGGGAAAAATACCGTCTTTGAAACACAGGGTACTGGGACAACCAGACATCTCCATGCAAAAGAATGAAACTGGACCCCTACCCCATACCATATACAAAATATAACTCAAAGTGTAGCAAAAACCCATTAAAAAGAAAACCACAGGCCCAAGATGGAGTCACTTAGGCCAAATCAACAAACAGAGGCTTAATAACTAACCTAATCGCACAGAAATGTAGTCTTAATGGGTCAGGAATTTTCTGGCCGGTAGCCATGAGGTAATCTATCACACGGGCCCTCTCCATCCCCCACAAAGGAAGATGAGATCATCTACTAAGACCCCCTGCAGGAAAGTAAACTTGCCTGATATAATCCTTCCTCCCTCAGTAATTTCTTGCCCCAGCCTCTTTCCTATAAAACCTTCCATTTTATAAAACTCTTGGGAACATCTCTCTGTTTGCTAGACGGGATGCTGCCCAATTCCTTAATAGCTTGATAACACCGACTGTGTCTTCAAATTTAGTCAGCAGAATTTTGTCGGTTAAGTATCAGAGACTTGATTTGGCTCAAGTCATGATCTCAGGGTTCTGAGATCGAGCCCCACTTCAGGCTCCATGCTGGGCTTGGAGCTGCTTACGATTCTCTCTCTCCCTCTCACTCTGCTGAAAGAAAGGAAAAGGAAAGAAAAGAAAAGGGAAAAGAAAAGAAAAAAAAAGAGAAAAGAGAAGAAAGAAAAGAAAAGAACATATTTAGTTTTCACCCCATCCCTGGCAGAGAGTTCCTAAAACTCTTGGAATTTCCTAAGTGATTTGAGCAATAAAGGTGCATTTGTTAGTTAATGAGGTGACTTTTGGAAAGCCTCAGTGTGCCCTAAAGATGCGGGCTGGCTGCCATCAGGTGATAAAACCCTTGGAACTTTCAATCCCATTCCCCTGACCTCCGGGGAGCAGAGAGGGGCTGGAGACAGAGTTCAATCGTCACTGGCCAATGATGTCATCAATCATTCCTGTGCAGTGAAGCCTCCAGAAGAACTCGAATGGACAGGTTCAGAGAGCTTCTGGGTCAGTGAACGTGCTCAGGGAGAGTGGCACCCCGGGAGAGGAACCAGAAGCTCCTTGAGGCCCCGTCCACATCCTCTGCCCTGTGCATCTCTCCCATCTGGCTGTTCCCTGTATCCTTTTGTAAATCACCAGTGATCTACTGAGTCAAATGTTTCTCTAACTTCCGTGAGCTGCTCTAGCAAATTAATCAAACCCAAGCAGGGGCTTTGTTGGGACCTCCAGTCTGTCCACACCTGTCAGAAGCAGAGGTGACAACCTGAACTTGTGACTGACCTCTGAAGGGGGAGGAGCAGTCCTGTGGGACTGAGCCCTTCGCCTGTGGGATCTGATGCTGTCCCACGGTATACAGTGTCTGAATGGCGTTAAATGTGTGGCAGCGTGGGAAAAAATACACATGGACGCTGGCATCAAAATCAGGTAAATCTATAAAACCTTTCAAGGAGAAGATAATACAAGAGGGTCTGACTAGCCCCACTCTGACCTCAAACTTTCTACCCTTTATTTTTAAGTAGACTCCACACCCAGCACAGGGCTTGAACTCACCACCCTGACATCAAGACCGGAGTCAAATTCTAGAGTCAGAGGCTTACCTGACTGAGCCACCCAGCTGCTCCTTGACCTCAAACTTTCTAACTGATTAAGTTCTTCTTTCTAGTTTATTCCTTAACTCAGGCAGAAGACCCCGTGGGCAAAGGATCCCGGGAAGGGAACTGGAACTACCCGCTGAAGCAACAAGGACCGCCCTGTGTCCGGGAGACCCAGAGTGACTGAGCCCATGACCATGACTGAGCAGACTTCACTGCCCCCCTGCATGTACCCACCAGCCATCGTCCCACACTTTCCTTATATAATTCTGGAAGGACTGTCAGCACTTGGGAGACAGTCTACACCAGCTCGTGGGTTTCCTGGTGTTGGCCTCACAGAGATAAATCCCTTTCTCGTTTCACCACCACTCACGTCTCTACCGTTGGACGTGGTCGGTGGCCAGTGGCTGAACTTGATCTGGCTGCCCCCTCCCCGCCAGAGCCAGATGCTCTTGTGCCCCTGTGCCCTGGATACAATCAGGGTAAATCTCTGTCACTTGGATAAGGCGACGATGTTTTTTTTAGATATGACACCAAAAGCACAAGCAAAAAAGAAAAAAAGAGATAAACCGTACATCATCCAAATGCAGAACTTCTGTGCTTCCGAGGATGCAATCAAGAAAGCGAAAAGAGAACCAGAGAATGGGAGAAAATATTTGCAAATCATGACGCTGTTGTATCCAGAATATATAAGGAACACTTGCAACTGAGGATGCCTGGGTGGCGCAGTCGGTTCAGGGTCTGCCTTCAGTTCAGGTCATGATCTCAAGGTCCTGGGATGGAGCCCCACATCAGGCTCCTTGCTCAGCTGGGGGCCTGCTTCTCCCTCTCCCTCTGCCCCTCCCCACCATTCGTACTCTCTTTCTCTCTCTCATAAATAAATAAATAAAATCTTAAAAAAAAAAAGAACTCTTACAATTTAACAACAAAAGGACAAATAATCCAATTGAAAAATAGACAAATGGGGGCACCTGGGTGACTCAGATGGTTAAGCCTCTGCCTTCAGCTCAGGTCCTGATCCTGGGGTCCTGGGATCGAGCCCCACATGGGGCTCCTGGCTCAACGGGGAGCCTGCTACCCACCCCCCTCTGCCTGCCTCTCTACCTACTCGTGATCAGACTTTCTCTCTGTCAAATAAATAAATAAAATCTTTTTAAAAAAAATAGCCAAAGGATCCAAACAGACCTTTTTCCAAAGAAGATATACAAATGGCCAAAAATCATATGAAAAGCTACTTAACATCATCACTAGCCAACAGGCAAATAGAAATCATAAACTACAAGGAGGTAACACTTCCAACCCAGTAAGAAGGCTATAATAAAACAGATAGAGGGGCGCCTGGGTGGCTCAGTGGGTTAAGCCTCTGCCTTCAGCTCAGGTCATGGTCTCAGGGTCCTGGGATCAAGCCCTGCATCGGGCTCTCTGCTCAGCGGGGAGCCTGCTTCCCCCGCCCTCCGCACCTGCCTCTTTGCCTACTTGTGATCTCTGTCAGATAAATAAATAAAATATTAAAAAAAAAAACAGACAGAAAGTACGCACTGATGAGGATATGGACGCACTGGAACCTCACACGCGAGGGAATGGAAATGGTAAAGCCTCTTTGAAGACCGGTCTGACAGTTCCATGTTAGAAAGAAAACCACAGGGGCGCCTGGGTGACTCAGTGGGTTAAAGCCTCTGCCTTCAGCTCGGGTCATGATCTCCGGGTCCTGGGATCGAGCCCCGCATCGGGTTCTCTGCTCAGCAGGGAGCCTGCTTCCTCCTCTCTCTCTGCCTGCCTCTCTGTCTACTTGTGATCTCTCTCTCTGTGTCAAATAAATAAATAAAATCTTAAAAAAAAAAACTTTAAAAAAAAAAAAAGAAAGAAAGAAAACCACAGAATGCGCCCGGCTGGCTGGCAGAGTCTGTGGAGCACGAGACTCTAGATCTCGGAGTTGTGAGTTCAAGCCCTATGTTGGATGTAGAGATTACTTAAAAAAAAAAAAAACAAACAACTTAAAAAAAAAATATATATGTATGCGCACACACACACACACATACAGAAAGCCAGGGGTACCTGGGGGGTTCAGTCAGTGAAGCATCTGCCTTCACCTCAGGTCATGATCCCAGGGTCCTGGAATCAAGCCCCGCACCGGGCTCCCTGCTCAGGCGAGAGTCTGCTTCTCCATCCCTCTGCAGCTCCCCCTGCTTATGCTCTCTCTCTCTCCTGTCTCTCTCAAATAAATAAATAAATAAAATCTAAAAAGATCATAATAAAAAATAAATAAATAAACTTGCTCCTTGAACGCATTAAAAAAGAAAAAGGAAAAAAGAAAACCAGAGGCCCCAAATGACATCACTAGGGCTAGGCCAAGTCATGAAACCGGGCTTAACAATGTTTTTTTCAACATCCTTGAAAGATTAAACATAGCATTACCCCATGACCCAGCAATTTCACAACGTAAGCATATACCCAAGAGAAGTCAAAACATATGTGCCCACAGAAACATTGCCCACAGAATGTTCACAGTAGAGACAAAGCCACATCCATCAGCGACCGGCTGAGTAAATGGTGGCCTGTCGCATGGGGAACATTACAGCGACGGCACCGGGGAGTCTTAAAGAGGTTCTGTTAAAGGGAAGAAGCTGGACTTTCATATGCTCTCTGATTCCATTTACAGGAAATGTCCAGAGTCGGCAAATCTACAGCGAAAGGAGGAAGAGGGGTAGTTGGCGGGGGCTAGGAGCTCCGGGCGAAATCAGGGATGACTCATTTCTTTGGGGGTTTCTTTTTAGAGTGATGGAAGTATTCTAAAATGGATTTTGGCATTGGTTACACAACTCTGCGGATACACTAAAAACACTGAATTATACATGTAAATGGGCTAATTCTATGGTATGTGGACTATCTCTCCATAAAGCCATTTTTAGAAAATGCTGAGCTCCTGATTAAAGCCTTATCTTTCTCCCTCAGGATAAAGCACCCATTTCCTAACAGTGGAGAAGCCTCACAGCACAGTGTCCTCGGTGACCTCTCCGACCTCCCTTCTCCCCGGGGCCCCTAATGCCCACCCCCTCCAACCAGCCACAGGATTGTGCCCACATGGTGCAAAGGCCCCAGGTCCTTCGTGCCGTCCTCACGGCAAGCCTGGGAGGTCAGCCACACCGTGCCCATTTTGCAGATGAGCAAGGTGAGGTACAGAGCAGCAAAGTGACTCCCCCAGGTCACAGCGTGTCCCTGTTCCTCAATCACAACAGTGGTCACACTCTCTTGTAATCACCGCTCGCCCACCCATCACCAGACTGTCACAGGACAAGGCATCTCAGCCCTCCCACCCCCTGCTTTCTCTCTTCTTAGCTGTACAACCTAGAGCAAGTGACTTAGCCTCTCTGGCTTTCCGTTCCCTCCTAAGTAGGGACAGTTACACGGTTATGAGGCTTAAATGAGGTAAAAACATGACAAGTGCTCAGAACTGAGGTATGTAGCGTGCACTGAACAAACAGCGAGGGTTAATACTGTTACTGTCACCTGTGTGTTGGCCTTGGCCAGCACAAGGTGGGGCCTAGGCAGGGCTTCAGGGTAGGGTCCTCCAAGGTGTGCTGGAAATCAGTGAGTGGGAGTGGAGGAAAGAGTACATTTGGCCTTGAGTCTGGAGAGGCCCAAGGCAGGTCAGGCAGACCCCTCCTCCAGGCAGTGCCTGAAGCCCTGGCCCCAACCCACTCCCCTGTCCTGGTCCCGCCCCCCTGCCACCACTCACGGGAAGGTGGATGCTGCAAAACAGACAATGGAGATCAAACCCAGGCCCACACTGGCCTCATCCCAGCCGTCCTGGGCGCATTCGCCGAACACATCCCATATCCACCGGCGGGAGCCATTGGGGCAGTCGGAGAAGTTGCCGGAGCCCAGTTTCTTCCAGACCATGGCTGCTGCAGGATGGGGGGATGACTGCACAGGGAGAAAGAGCGGGGGCCTTTAGCCTCAGCAGGTCTGGATCCTGTCAGCGCCACCTCCAGCAACGCCCACCCCCCAGTTTCATTGCCCGGCACAGACTGAGCCTCTGAACCCGAGGGCACAATCAGCTTCAAGTACACACACCACCTGTGCGGGGACAGTGCTAGATCGGCAGTCAGGGACAAGTGTGTTCAAATGCCAGTTTTAGCACTGGTCAGTGCTGCAACTCTGGGCAAATGCTTCAGCCTCGCTGTGCCTCAGTTCCCTCATCTGTAAAAGGGGTCATCACAGTGTCTCCTTCATGTCCTGCCCCTTACAGGAGTTCATGAAATGAACCCGCAGCATGACTTTGTTACAACTCTCCAGTTTACATTGTTTCCGATCTCTTGTTCTGTAAATTACATCTATAGAGACCGGCCCCCACTAAGTATTTTCTCACTGAAAGTAGGACTGGGGTGCCTGGGTGGCTCAGTCATTAAGTGTCTGCCTTCGGCTCAGGTCATGATCCTACATCGGGCTCCCTGCACAGTGGGAAGCCTGCTTCTTCCTTTCCCACTTTCCCTAACTTGTGTTCCCTCTCTCACTGTGTCTCTCTGTCAAATAAATAAATAAAATCTTTAAAAAATATTTTAAAAAGAAAGAAAAGAAAGTAGGACTGTCATCTACAGAGGGTCAGAGAAGGCAGATGGAGAATAAGAGCCAGGTGGGTCCAGGGCTTGCACAGGTGGCTGGCACTCAAGCGTGGCACTCAAGCAGAATTCTCCAGGAGCAGCGTGGGCCGGATAGGGTACCTGATGCCAAGGCGACCAGGGCCACTTCCCCGTTCAAAGCCCAAAGTGGCTGGTTGCAGGGCAGGCAGAAAAGTCCCCTCCCGATGCTCGGGCAGCCTGCACAGTGACTACAACACTCACTGTCTGTGCGACAGTCCCAGAGAAGGGACAGAAAGCGGAGCCAGACGGCGCCATCTCCACCAGGCGAGACTCACCACAGCCCCTGATTACGAAGCTCTTCACCAGCCCTGGGCTAAATACCTTGCAGGCATTTTGCTCATTTTGCCCTGTTCAACTTCATGAAGGGGGCGGGGGAGCTCCAAATATATCCAAGGAACCAGGGAAGTGACTTGCACCCAGACAGGGAAGCGGCAGAGGCAGGAGCCAAACCCAGGATGGGCCCCAAACCCCGACTCCTAGCCACCCTGCCATGCTGCCTCAGGCACTTCTGGCCCTGGATGTGGCAGACCCCCACCCCCCCAAACTGTGGTCTGGCTGACCATCCAAGCGCCCCAGCAGCCAGAAGGCAGGCTTCCCCTGTGTGTGTCCCCCCGTGCTCAGAGGCTTTCCTGGCCGGCCTGGGATCCTCTCCAGCTACCTTCCGTTTGTCCCTCTGCCTGCTGCTCCCCCTGCTTGTGTGCTCATGCTCTCTGTCAATAAATAATTAAAATCTTAAAAAAAAAAAAAAAAGAAAACCAAGTCCTTTTGTCCCCCGGTCACCCCCCAATGCCCTTTTACAGATTCTGAATATGCCTCTCCCTCTCCCCACTGTAATACACTGTCACCCTCGTATTTTTACCGCGAGCTGGGGGAGACTGCCCCCATTTCCCAGGTACGGTTGGGTCACCCTGCCCAAGTGAGGAACCTGTCTGAGCCTGTCTGTGAAGTGGGAGTGATGACACTGGCTCCTTGGGGTTGGTGGTAGAGATGAAATGCAGGCAAGGAAGGCTCTCGGCCCCAGGCCTGACCAAGCCCTGCAGGGGGGGTGTCGTGAGGATGACAGGCCGGGAGCTCGAACACCCTGTGGCCACTCTCTTGCTCCCTTTCCACCAGGTGAGGGAGGAAATGAAGGGAACGCATGCTCAGTGAGGGAAGGGGGTGTCTGGATGATTGTAGCTTGGCTCACAGGGCCCAGAGCACAGGGCAGGTGCTCCCTGATCTCGCACAGGGCATAAGCACAGCTGGGGACACTGAGACACGCCTGAATCCCGACCAGAAGGTGCTGTCCTCTGGGGCCTGCCCTCTGGGGGCCGCTGCACACAGGGCCCATCATCTGGAGGTCCCGACCCAGCTAGGGAGTCAGCCTGGCCCCAGGCATGGGTTCTGGGAATGGGCCCACCTCCTAGTCAGACAGCACTGGGAGGATGGATGTCCAGGGTTGCAACAAAGTTTGACTGCATCCAGAGATTTGACAAGGACCACAGCAGGGGCGGGTGCCTTGGAACCACGGAGGGCACATGCCCAGAATTCAGGCTCAGTGCCTCTGGACTTCAGATCACAGCCTTTGGGTTTAAGAAGCAACTCCAGGGGCACCTGACTGGCTTATCTCGTAGACCATGCAACTCTTGATCTCAGGGTTGTGAGTTCAAGCCCCATGTTGGGTATAGAGATTACTTAAAAGTAAACCCTTAAAAAAAAAAAGGCAACCCCAGCTGATTCTGATGCACTTGGCCATGCTTTGGGAAAACCTACACTGGAGAAGGCATCTCGGGCCACACCCAAGCTCTCCTACCGGATCCCAAGATGAGTCAGGAATATGCTTCCCATGAAAGCTTCCCAGGGAAGCAGCAGGCCTCCAGGCTTCTGCACATGTGGTCTTTTCCCTTAGGAGTGTCCTTCTCCCCCTGGAAGGCCTGGTAAGGAGACACAGTTCTAACATGCCACCTCAAAGATGCCTTGCAAAGGCTGGCTGGATGACACCTGGTCACCTCTTCCTCCCCCTTCACATAGCTGAAGAATGCTTATCACAGTGCTCAGCTACTCCGGCTCCTCAAGTCCACACCCCTCCCTTCACCCTAGCTATGACTGACTCTCGCGGCCAGCAACACCAGCTGCACCGTAAAGGTTCAGACAGTGCTGAGGAAGAGAGAGGAGACAGAGAAAGAGGGAGACAGACAAGAAAGGGAGGGAGGGGGACAGAGAAAGAGAGACAGACAGGGAAGGAAGGAAAGAAGGAAGGAAACAAACTAGCTGTGAGCTCAGATGACCTAAGTTTGAGGAGACAGCACTAGGGAACTGACCTGCTTAATGCCCACAGCATAGAATTCCAGGGCAAGTGACAGCCTCAGAATTCCAGTCTATACAATGGGGGGATAACCTATGTACCCACCTCCTAGGCCAACCGCAGAATTAAATGACAAGATCCGGGCCAAGGGATTAGAATGGTGCCTGGCAGAGATTAAACACTCAGTAGGAATAGCCAGGGATGGGTATTACTCGCTTTGGTTGTAGCATGTCCCCCCACCACCACCTTTCCTGAGACCCTGGGGCAAAGCAGCCTTTGGTTAAGGGCTGCAGGGACAAGACTGCGCGCCAGTCCTGACACTTCCAAACCCAGCCTCCCCACGTACAACTTCCCAACTTGTCCCAGGCCTGAGGAGGGGAGAGCAATCTGGGATCCCTGTAAAACCACGGCGTAGGTGGAGAGGAGGGGAGTCCCCACTGGCGGCCCACCCCCTCCAGGCCTCCGAGTCCTTGGCCACCTGGTGACTAAGGCCAGCGCGGGCCACCTGTTTGGCAGGGATAATGACAGGGCAGCTGCTGGGGTCAGCGCTCAAACGCCGCGAGGCCCCCTCCCCTGCCTGCCCTGGGGAAAACAAAGCCGTCGGAAACGATGGAGCCCGTCCGCCGGAACCAGGAGGTGAAAAGAGGACCCAGACCCCAAACCCTGGCCAGGCTGGTCCGAGACCGTGCTCAGGAGAGGGATGTATGCCCCCGAGAGTCCAGCTAATCCCGGCCCAGAGCCTCGTCTGCGGATCTCGCGCCGCAAGGAGGGGAAAGAAGCCCCAAAACGGTCCAGGGACTGTAAGAAGTAGTTGGAAAGATGTGGCAGCGACGCCCCGGAGTCCTGACCCGCAGCCTTCAGGCTTGCCCCCAGCCTCAATTCCGGCTCACCGTGTCAAGTTCCGCCGCGGGTCCCGGCTTCTGGGCTCTGCCTGCACTGCCTGGGTCAGCTGACCCGAAGCCCCGCCCCGCCCCGCCCCCCCCCCCCCGCCCCCCCCCCGTCCCCCCCCGTCCCGCTCCCGTCCCGCCCCCGTCCCGCCCCCGTCCCTGTGAGACGTGGCTCCGCCTCCTCCGCCGCGCGCAATGCGGACAGTCCCTGGGGGCGGTGAATACGGCGAGAGCGGACCGAGCGTGCGCGGTGGGGCGGTGCGCGGCCAGTCCCTGCTCTCATCTCGCCTCCCGGCTCCACCCCCACGGCGAGGTGGGCGGGACTCGAGGCGCCCCAGGGCGCAGGCGCAGACCTCATGCTAAGCGCCCTGTCTCGCGCAGTGGTCCGGGGAGCGGTGCGCTGCGCCCGCGGTTCCCCGGCGCCCAAGCTTCGCGCGGCTGTCGCTACCAACGCCGCCACCATGTCCCGGCCGCTGTCGCCGCCGCGGGCCGCTTCCGGGGCCCCAGTGCGGCCCGCCACCGTGCTGGGCACCATGGAGATGGGGCGCCGCATGGACGTGCCCACCAGCGCCGCGGCAGTGCGCGCCTTCCTGGAGCGCGGCCACACGGAGGTAGACACGGCCTTCATGTACGGCGACGGCCAGTCCGAGAGCATCCTGGGCGGCCTGGGCCTCGGGCTGGGCGGCGGCGACTGCAGAGGTAACCCCTACCTCCCCCTGCACCGTGCGGCGCCCACCCGACCCCGGCCGCCGTCACGACCAACGGTTTCGGCCCCTCCGGGGCGCTGACTGCCCCGCGGACCCCTCCCGCCTGCACCTCAGGCCCCGTGCACGTGTCGCCCCGGACAGCCAGACAGATCTTTGTCCTGACCTCCTTTCCCTCCCCTTCTCTTTCCTCTGGGAGTTGCAGTCAGGAAGCGCCCCCCGCCCCCCAGTCTTACCCCGAGGCTGGTCTAGTCCTTCGTTTCCTCCCCGCCTTGCTTCTTGGGGCACCTCTCTGCGTCAGCGGTCCCCAGAGCTATGCAGTACCCCCTCCAACCCTGTCAGGTGCCCCCAAATCGCCCCTCTCCCCATTGCTCTCACCGCCCATGGCTCCCTGAGTACCCTCTTCTCATCCTGGCCTTTCATCAGTCCGTAGACTTTGCTCTGTTCAGCTGGCAGTACCTGGCTCCCAGAGGGACCTGCAACTAGGTCACGAAGGAAGCTGGGGGATCGGGGTGGAATGCGGAGTGGGGAGGTTTGTTATGGGACTATAAGAGGGTGAGTGGGTCCACCCCACCCGCAGGGAGCTTAGAGCCTAATGAGGAAGCTTGAAGCGAGGAAGAGAAAACACTTTGGAAGGATTAAGGGGTCAGGGAGAGGCGTGAGAGAAGGTTCAGAGAACACTGGAGCTGGGCCTTAAAGGACCAACAGTAGTTCGCTGGAAAGAGAATGGGAGACAGCTGCATCAAAGCTGAGGGCAGGGCTGTGCAGACCAGGTTTGGAAATGCAGCCTCTGGTACGTGCAGGGACAGCCAGTACACCGGTGCGGCTTGAGTGGAGGATATCAGTGCATGACAGGGACTGTCCCTCATTAGCCTGATGCCCTTGGAAATGCCTGGCACTTGGTAGCAATATAGGAAAATGGGATTTGGAGCCAACGGCAAGGAAAGAATTCTTGAGATTCTTGAAACTTCTTCTGTGCCAAAAGATGCTTTTATCAAAGCCTGGGGACAGGCCTGGTGCTCAGAAAGAATACCACTGGGGCTGTGATGGGTGACTGATTATATTCTTTCAAGGTGGGAAGGTGTTTGGGACAGCACAAGCCCCCAGGGTATTTTGGAAACAAGGTTTTCAGGACCTTGAGGGGGCTAGCTATTGCTGGGAAAAGGTCATGGGGCACCTGGGTGGCACAGTTGGTTAAGTCAGTTGGTTTCTTGAGCTCGCATGTTGGGCTCTGTGCTCAGTGCAGATTCTGTTTAAGATTCCCTCCTCCCTCAGCCTTTTCCCCCTAAAATAAATAAAATAAATCTTAAAAAAAAAAAAAAAAAGGAAAAGTTCATTTATTACTGTTTAGTAAAAACTCAGTCACGAGGCCCTTCAGATGTGTATCGGTCAGTCATATGCCCGGAGGATCATTACCAACATGTCTTGCGGAGGTAGAGATAAAGGAAGTTTCTGAAGGAATTTTTATATGTTAAAGTAGGCTTACAGGATCCTGGAGAAAGGAGGGAAGTGGTCAGACTAAGATTACTTCTTGCCTTTAGCAAAGTATTAACATCGAGGCAGCTGAGTTCCTAGAGGCATGTCCCTCTGCCTGTTTCAAGGGCATGTCAGGAAATTTAATTTTTTCTTTTGCCTTTTGTCTCCCACATCTGTGGGCCCAGTAAAAGTTCACTGTTACTCTTACTTCCATCCTCTGCTTCTTCCTTTCCGCCCCTCCCGGCTCTTGTGCAGAACCCTGCTCTGGGTCCTCCTCAGATTGGAGCTTGGTGGATGTGGAGGAAGCTGTCTGTCAGACCCATGCTTTCTAGTGAACGCAGCTGCCCCGTCCTTAATAATGGGGGTTTTGTTTCTGAATTGGTTTTTCTCCTCCAGCCCTCTCTGCGGACTGAGCCAAAGTCTGCAGGTTGGACTGGAGGCAAAGTTCACACCCAGAGTGCAGAGGATTTGAGAACTGTGGGGACATGGAGAAAATGTGCACAAGAAGCTGTGGGACTGGTTCTCTCCCACATCCCCAGGGGTCATGTGCCTCCCCTCTGACCTGCTGAGTTGCCTTTGCCGCACGTGAAAAGTGCACAATCCAGACACAGTGAGCTACTTGCTTGGCAGAACACTGTTTCCTTCTCATGCGGATTGTGTCTCGGCTGTGGATGGGGTGTGTGCCTGTGCACGCTTCTCGGAGTCAGAAGGGGCAGGGGAGCGAGCCCAGCTTCTGCTCCTTTGACATTGTACCTGTCTCTCAGGTTGATCTGTGCCCGAGGCGCGCGTTGGAGCTGCTGCATCTTAGCAGAATTCTCGCCGCAGCCTCTTGCCTCCCTGTTCCCAGGCCTGCCCCCTCAAGTTCCCTCCTGAACACAAACACAGTAAACATAGCTGACTTTGGTTGATGGGATTTGAAAAAAGTGTTAGCAGTTAGGTCTGCCACCCTTCTCTTGTCCCCTGTCCACCTGCTCCCGGCCTGGGCCCGGAGTCGACGCTCTTAAAACTCCAAATTGCAGGGATGGGCCTCACGTACTGTGTGTGTGCCTTTCTGACTCTGCCCATCTTCCCAGGCTCGGGAATATGCTTCCTACATTTCCCTGTTGGTGGGGTCTCATTCTTAGATACTCAGCTCCCGGGTCATCCCCATAAGGATGCCCTCCCTGGTATTCCCAGGATGGCCACACACTCTGTTCTGGGCTCCTTTAACACTGGGGGCCTTCCTCTGTTGTGCTTACCTTACAACTTCACCTTTAGGCTGTGAGCTCCTTGAGTGGAGGGAGCAAGTGTGTCTCCCGGCAAGCCCCGGCTGAGTGACTACTACTAGTGATTGTAACAGCGGCGGACATTGAGAACTTACATATTTAATGCTCATGATCTCCCTGTGAGGACAGTTGTGTTGCTGTACCCCCATTTTATAGATGAGAGAACTGAGGCTCAGAGAACTGAAATAATTTAGAGAGGGTCACCTAATAAGCCTCCTAACCATTGCACGCTCCCCTCAAAGTGAAAATCGCTACCAAGGCCAATCCCTGGGAAGGGAAGTCGCTGAAGCCTGACAGTGTCCGGGCCCAGCTGGAGACGTCCCTGAAACGGCTGCAGTGCCCCCGGGTAGACCTCTTCTACCTACACGCCCCAGACCACGACACCCCTGTGGAGGAGACGCTGCGTGCCTGCCACCAGCTGCACCAGGAGGTGAGGCCAGCCCCCGAGCTTCCAGGAGAGTGGAGGCACCAGGATCATCCCAGAGCAGAGCCCACTCCCAGGGTCCCCACCCCCGTCTTCCCTTTGCAGTGTCCTGGGCTGCGGAGGGTTCTGACCGAGGCCTCTCCCCTGCAGGGCAAGTTCATGGAGCTTGGCCTCTCCAACTATGCCTCCTGGGAGGTGGCCGAGATCTGCACCCTCTGCAGGAGCAACGGCTGGATCCTGCCCACTGTGTACCAGGTGAGGGCCCGGGCCACAGGGGCCTGTCTGCAGGGCTGCTGCTGATGCGCGGTTCTCCTGGCCCCTCCCACTGCCTCCTGTGCCCTCTCCATGGCAGCCTATGGATGGCTCCCAGAGGCCATGGGGATGATTTGTGATCTCCTCGGCTTGGCCAGCAGGCACCTGCTGGCTCTGGGCCTGGCTCCCCTTCCTGCCCGCACATGCTGCTTGGGCCCTTCCTTCCTGCTCCCTGGCTGTGGGCGTGAGCCTGGACCAGCCTTCCCCTTCTCCCGGGTAGGGGTGAGTGCTCAGGGCTCACTTGGTGGGCTCATCCCCTGGAAGGCCTTTCCCAATGCCAAGAGGAGCCTCCAGTACCCAAACGTCATGCATCCAGCGAGGACTTTTGAGCACCTGCTGTGATCACAGAACCCGCCTCTCTCGTGATCGGCTGTCTTCTTTCTGTGTGGGTGTATCTCTTTGACTGAAGTATAGTGACAGTGTTTTATTAGTTTCAGGTGTGTGACATATTAGTCTGTGCGATGCTCTGCTCCCCATAAGCATGGCCACCGTAGGTCAACATGCAGGCTGTTACGATGCTGTCTCCTCTGGTCCCTCTGCTCTACCTTTCATCCCTGCGCCTGACTCGATCTATAACTGGAAACCTGTACCTCCCACTGCCCGTCCTCCCTTTTGGTCCAACCCCCAACTCCTTCCTCCCAACAACTGACAGTTTGTTCTCTGTGTATATGGGTCTGTTTCTGCTTTTTTGTTTTTTCATTTGTTTTGTTTTTAGATTCCACATGTAAGTGAAACCATATGGTATTTTTCTTGCTTTGGCTTATTTCACTTACCATACTCTAGGTCCTTCCCTATCATGACAAAAGGCAAGATCTCCTCCTTTTTTTTTTTTTTTTAAAGATTTTATTTATTTATTTGACAGACCGAGATCACAAGTAGGCAGAGAG